TCTGGGCAAAAAAATAATGTCTAACAAGCTTTATACCATGATTTGCTGGAGGCTCGCACTAAAATGTTATTCTGTGTAACTATAATTTATCAAAACAAGTTGCCAGGCATATTTTGCAAAAGAATAATTTTATGACATTTAAAGACTATATTTAAGGATAACAGTTCAGCCAGAAAATAGTATTTAACTGTCATTTAGAATTGTTATACTTTGCCACTTTCTTTCAGTCATTTAAAATGCAGTTCTGCTTAATATGATCACTAACTCCTTATTTTTATAAGCACAGTTCATAATAAGTGTATTTTTATTTTAACATGAAACTGTGCATCTGTTATTCTGAGTGTTGAGCATTATTTTACTGATATTTTTTAAATATATTATAGTTAGACTCAGAATTATGTAGAACCGAAAATGTAGGGTCTTTACTGTACCTTGTATAAGTATACATTGCAAAACTACACATTCAGAAAAAGTACCCCCCTAGTGGCCATATGTGTACCTTTTTATTTCTGAGAATGCAGAAATCTGGTTGAGTATAGCAGAGCATCAGAATAAAGAAGTAAGGTGATTGAAGTGACTTTGAACGTGGCATGGTTGCTGGTGGCAGATGGGTTGGTCTGAGTACTGTTGATCTACTGAGATTTTCATGCAAAACCATCTCTAGGGTTTACAGAGAATGATCTGAAAAGGAGAAAGCTCTGTTGGCACAAAAACCTTTTTGATCCCATAAGTAAGATGAGAATGGCCAGAATGGTTCGAGCTGATAGAGAGGCAACAGTAACCCACATAACCACTTGTTACAACCGAGGTATGCAGAAGAGCATCTCTGAACACACAACACGTCCTTCAGGCGTATGGCCTACAGCAGCAGAAGACCACACCGGGTGCCACTTAGAGCACCTTTGGGATGTGGTGGAATGGGAGATTCGCATCATGGATGTGCAGCCAACAAATCAACAGCAACTTTGTCATGCTATTATGTCAATGAGAATCAAAATCTCTGAAGAATATTTTCAGCACTTTGTTGAATCTATGCTATGAAGGATGAGGGCAGTTCTGAAGGCAACCTGGGTCAAACCTGTTATTAGTAAGGCGTACCTAATAAAGTGGCCAATAAATGTATGTAGCATATATGACATAATAAACCTTATGTGAAATTTAGATATAACCGTGTATATCACATATGTAATTTGCATTTATTTGCATATCAGATTTCAGTTTGGAATCTAAACATGCACACTTACCGTTGCTCTTTTTATCATTCCTTGGGAAATTGTGATGAAAATCTCCTGGAAGTGAAGTGACCGTGCAACAGGAAATGCTTTGTTCAGGCTCAGTGCTCTGCAATCTCCGGCTCTCTGCTTGGCCACGAACAATACTGAATGTTTGTAACTTTCTGCCTTGTGAGAGCTGAGCTATTACCAAGGTTCTTTTCGAATCTATTACTGAGAAGCTATTACCAAGGTCTTATCTCCCAGTGACATGTTGCTGTTGACTCGGACTTAATTTTTTATTATTGGACTGAGTCATCAGTGGGCACAAATTTCCAGGGACTGCTCTGTTGCAGGAGTTTGATTAATGAACAGCGTAAACTCTAGCATTCTCCTGCAGGCACAGATGGCCAATGAAGTAACCCAATTAATCCAGACGTGTCATCAAATACCAATACTAGGTTGACAACATGGTTCTGTAAAAGTGAAACAAAAGGAGAGCTGAAGAGCTTGTCAGACTTAAGGTTGATTGTCAATGCCGTTGCTACAGCTCCTCCTTTGAGACGTTAGTCTAATGAGTATTAGATCCAAGGGGATTGTTCCCTAATTTCATTTCATAGCGCATTTTGCTGTGTTAATGGATTTGATGTGCTGTTGGCAGGACTGTTTCAGTGGACAGAGCGAGCACCACATCACCGGATTTCAGATTTGATCCATGGCCAATTGAAAGCACCTTTGAAGATGACTGTTTCTTAATTAAGTTTAGGGGGAAAGTCAGTGAAGCAGTTAATTGTTTTAACTTTGGAGCTTTAATTACGATTTCGGTTGAGACTAAGATAAAAGAAGTTGGCTGTGAGTGTGCGTGCACTTGTGTGCTGTGCAGTGTTAAAATGACATTACTTCGATGAAATGTCTTTTTTTTTTCTTGAATATACGATTTTGATAGATTCTGCATTAATCCACTTGCAATGCACATTATAATGTAATGTAATGTGTGTTTTTACAGTATAGCGCATTTATCTTTACAATCATGTGGGGGATCTCTTAACACCATCACCAGTGTGCAGCTTCCACCTAGATGATTCAACAGCAGTCAGTGCACCTCCACACACTAGCTGGTGAAGTAGACAGACTGTGATAGAGCCAATTTGGCGGATAGGGATAATTGGGAGGCCATAATGGATAAGGGCCGATGGAAGGAGTTACACCTCTACTCTTTAAGAAAAGTGCCATGGGATTTTTAATGACCACAGAGAGTCAGGACCTTGGTTTAACATCTTATCCGAAAGATTCTGCTCACTGACAGCATGGTGTCCCTTTCACTTTACTGGGGCATTAGGACTCGCACAGACCACAGGTTGAACTCCTCCTGCTGGCCTGACTAATACCACTTCCAACAGCAACCTAGTTTCCCCATGTGGTCTCTAATCCAGGTAATGACCAGGCTCAGCTCTGATTAGCTTCAGTGAGTAACCAGTCATGGGCTGCAGGGTGATATGGTTGTGGTTTAAATGTTAAAAAGGTAAAATAAATAAAACTAACACGCAGTGGCACAGTAGGTAGTGCTGTCGCTTAACAGCAAGAAGGTCGCTGGTTTAAGCCTTGGCTGGGTCAGTTAGTGTTTCTGTGTAGAGTTTGCATGTTTTTCCTGCATTCGCATGGGTTTCCTCCGGGTGCTCCGATTTCCCCCACAGTCCAAAGACATGCGGTACAGTTGAATTGGGTAGGCTAAATTGTCCGTAGTGTATGTGTGTGAATGAGTGTGTGTGGATGTTTTCCAGAGATGGGTTGCGGCTGAAAGGGCATCCGCTTCGTAAAAACGTGCTGGATTAGTTGGCGGTTCATTCTGCTGTGGTGACCCCAGATTAATAAAGGGACTAAGCCGACAATAAAATGAATGAGTAAATGAATGAACTTTACCAACAAACTGAAATAATGTAGCAAAATTTTAACTGGTTGGTGATTCATTTCAATGTGGTGACCCCAGATTAATAAAAGGACTAAGCCAAAATGAAAATGATTAAATTAAATTAAATTAAATTAAATTAAATTAAATTAAATTAAATTAAATTAAATTAAATTAAATTAAATTAAATTAAATTAAAACATGTGAAATGCATTTACTGCAATATTACAAAACTTGAATATTAAAAAATAAATGTACAAGCATTTTTTTTTTCATTGTTAGTTTATGTTGACTTGTAAATGAAGGAACCTTATTATAAAGTGTAACTTTAGTAATATTAGATTAAAAAGATCTTGATTTGAAAGAAAATAAAATACCAAGTTAAGTAATTCAATGTTTACAACTAAATAAAACTAAAAATAAAATAAACCTTTGCATTTACATGAACATTTCCCCATTGTTCTATTTTCTTGTCAAATAATAAATCCATTTAAGATCAAATTAAAATCAACAGTAACAGTAAATCTCAAAAGTAATTAGCACAATTTAGCATTTTTTTATAAAGCTTTTTTACCATTAAGAGTAAGACCTTCATCAAGAAAATAAATCTTTGTTATCCTGTTCAACACACTCTGTGTTTTCAGCTGAGTTAGCACTTTGTAAAGTGTGTGTGTTTTTTTGAGAGGCCTTATCAAATGTGTTATAACAACTAAATTTCCTAGAAAACAGTATGCAAAATTAATAAAGCTGTTCCTCTTCTTAAAACAGAGCTACAGTATGGATAAGTATTGAGACAAATTATTAACCTTTAAATGGCACCTATGATGAGAAGCATCTTTTGTTAGCTGTTTGGACTGAACTGTGTGTAGGTGTAGTGTGTCCAAAGTCATATCGTGGTGATATAAAGACAAAAAGTATCTTTTTATTTTTCCTGATGTTGAAATAGCATCAAAATCCCTCCCATTTTGAAGCCCACCTCAACATGACATAGGAGTGCAATTATCCCACCCACCGAATTGATTCACAGCCACATATTAACATGTCTTCATAGTTATATGTATAATCATATCAACAAGACAGGACATGCACAAAGTATCTATGATTAAAATATCTGTTCAGCTCACTGTGATCATCAATCATCATCAAATGTGGTCAAGAATGAGTTTTACAAGTTTAAAACATTTTTAAAAGTGTGCATGTTTGTAATGAATTACAGCGTATCAAGTACAATGATTTTATCATCTTTATCACTGCAGCTGCATGTCAATGCAATTATAAAAGAAGATGCTTCAATCTCAGTTTGTGGATGTTAAATCAGGTTTATTTTGTACATAACTATAATGGATGTCCATACAGCAGTGGATATTGACATGTATCCGTTCACATTTGCCATGCAAAACAGTGCAAAGTTAAACGCACACACTGTTTGTGTGTGAGAACTTTGTAACAACATTGTGTGTGACTCATCAAAAGGCTTGAATTAATTCCACAGCAAATACATCAAATAATCATTGGCAAAGTTCCTGCTATTTCTCACAAACGTTACCTGAAATCTGCTTCCTTCATGTCTGTCACTGTGCTGTTTATCTGATGCAGGTACACTCTGACAGGCAAGTGGGAACAGTGGGCAGGGGGAACTAGCATTAAATGTACCGGCAACAAGCACCTACAGTGTGTTAATTTCAATACTTTAATAATCTGTTTTTTTAAACCAAAACTTTTCAGACACATTCTGGAGACACAAAAGACTTATCTTAAATATTAAAAAAGAGGTAAAATAGGTCTTTAAAAGGCTTAGAAAAACAACAACAACAAAAAAAACTTTCAGAACTTTACATTTATAACCTCAAATATGTAAACGTGTCCTTTTGTTCTTTCCTCAGATGTATGCCAAACCACTGTGAACACGGAGGTCGATGCAGTCAGACATGGGACAGTTTCACATGCACCTGTGATGGCACAGGGTACACCGGAGCCACCTGTCACACATGTGAGTGTTATTGGTCGATTATATCTGTGAATGTATGTGGTTGTTTATCCTGATATCACACTTTCTTAGAAGTGAAGGAGTCTTTTGTGTTAACCTCAGCATGTGACATAAATGCACTGCCACATAAATGGAAGAGGAAAAACAGGCTTTCTTTGAAATAAAATGTTGAAAAAGGAGAATGGAAAACAGCAAAAGAATATAATATTATCGTCTAGAAGAACATTCTGAGAAATGTCAGATTTCTGCATAACAATATTTGCTTTCCTGGTATGTTTGGCTTTTATCCATGTGGTTTAAGTGACATGTTTTTACAGCAGCTAAAACATGAATTTATAAACCATTTCTGTTTGTTATGAGGTATAAACGGTATTTCGAATGGAATTTGGAAACATTTGAGACTTCCAGTAGAGTATCAACATTGATTTTGGCTTTGCATTAACATTTTGCTAAGCTAAGTTTGACCTTAGCGTAGTGCTAAGCTACTGATGAGCTCCTTCACTGCTCTAGAATCTGGTCAAAACATTCCATCTAGACACACCATTTACATTTCCTCCCTTTTAAATATGACCTTCACAGTTGTTGTGACATCTGCGTCTCGTTCAAACCTTCGCTGGGTTTCAAAACTGAGATATTGATTTATATGAACACGTCTGTTGTATTCTCTGTGAAGTCTGTTTGGGATCAGTTCTGAGAGAAATAGTTGAGTATCACTACAGAGGGAAACTTTTTTAAGACCCCAGGGGTTAGATGGAGACGATGAGAGACTGGAAGTTACACAGTGATGTCAGTTACACAGAAGCGAGTATAAAAGATGTTGAACTCTGCTGAGCTACTGCCCTCAAACCTCTCCATATACAAAAGCAAGGTTGTACGGTACTTGTCAATAGTCAGGCTTGATAAAAAAAAATTATATTTGTATAGTTATGAAAGTGTATATTTATATATTGCTTTGTGCACTCTGTATACTGGATAGCAAGTTGCTGTTTTTAGCATTTATTTTTAACAGAAAATGTCCTACTTAGTTCATGCTACTCTAATGTAGTGACTTATAAGTAGATAATTTTCTTTGAATGCTTGTCACTATATATATTACATACATATACAGTTAAAGTTGAAATTATTAGCCCCTCTTTGATTAAAAAAAAAAAAAAAAAATTTCCCAAATGGTGTTTAACAGAGCAATGGAATTTTCACTGTATGTCTGATAATATTTTTTCTTCTAAAGAAAGTCTTATTTGTTTTATTTCGACTAGAATAAAAGCAGTTTAATTTTTTTTTAAAGCCATTTTACGGTCAACATTATTTGCCCCTTTTAGCCATATTTTTTCGATAGTTTACAGAACAAACCATCGTTATAAAATAACTTGCCCAATAACCCTAACCTGCCTAGCTAACCAAATTAACCTAGTTAAGCCTTTAAATGTCACTTTAAGCAGAGAAAGGTGTCTTGAAAAATACCTAGTACAATATCATTGTAAACAATGTACGCATTATCAGTTAAATCAGACATAAATCAGTTACTAAAAAATAGTTATTAAAACTCTACCAAGAATTCTGACTTCAACTAAATATATATATATATATATATATATATATATATATATATATATATAGTTGAAGTCAGAATTCATATAGAATATATATATATATATATATATATATATATATATATATATATATATATATATATATATATATATATATATATATATATATATATGAATTTTTTACTCTCTTGTAAGGCTATGTAAGGTGAACCTTAAAAATGTCTACATTATAAATATTCTTAAGTATGATTGGGGGGACTATTGTAAGGGTTAGTTTAACCTAAAAGTTTGTTTTTCTTCTTATTGTTCACCTTTGCTTTATGTGATGAATGGATTTAATTTAAACTTTTATTCACATATAAACATTGATGAGTGAATGTAAACAGAAGCTTGAAACAATAAACCTTCCAGAATCTGAAACATGATGTGACATACAAAAATCAGCATAATTGGTACTCACACAAGCATGCTGCAGCTTCATGACCAAATTTGAAAGCTGTAATCATTGTTCGCCAATCATTTTTAATATGTGAGTCTAATTATAAATAATATCTTATAAATTGATCATTTAGAGTACATGGAATAAACTGCTCATTTCATATGGATGTATTTATGTTTCTCTTTGTGAATTTTTTAATGTGTCAGACTTTATAAGTGCATAGACTTTTAATGTAGGGATAGAAACCTTTCAGATTGTATAAAAAAGTGTGTGTGATATGTGAGTATGAGTAAAAAATGGTATAATTTTCTGTATTTTTAAGGTGAAATGATGCTTTATATTATGATGATGATATTATATTTGATAAAGGTTTCATTTATTTCTCTTCTATAGCTGTCTATGAGCAATCATGTGAGGCCTACAAGCATTTAGGAAGATCATCTGATGCCTACTGGATTGACCCAGATGGAAGTGGACCATTAGGCCCTTTTAAAGTCATCTGCAACATGACAGGTGAAGTGCATTTTTTATTTATCTATAAGCCTGTCAATTACTCATGCTTTATAAATAAAGTAATTTACTACATAATGAATGCTTTCGAGATGCGTCACAGTGGTGCTGTGGGTAGCATGATTGCCTCACAGCAAGAAAAAGTCACTGTTTCGAGCCCTGGCTGGGTCAGTTGGCATTTCTGTGTGGAGTTTGGATGTTTTGCCTGTGTTGCTGTGGGTTTCCTCTAGGTGCTCCGGTTTCCCCAACAGTCCAAAGACATGCAGTATAGGTGAATTGAGTAAGCTATATTAGCCATAGTGTATGTGTGTGAATGAGTGTATGGGTGTTTTCCAGTGTTGGGTTGAGGCTGGAAGGGCATCCGCTGCGTAAAACATGTGCTGGATAAGTTGGCGGTTCATTCCACTGTGGCAACCCCTGATTAATAAAGTGACTAAGCCAAAAAGAAAATGAATGAATGAATGAATGAATGAATGAATGAATGCTTTCAAGGACTTCTCTATTCTCTAACATCTGAGTAAGGTTTTTTAAACACACTAAAAACACACTAACACCTCCCTAGACTTTTTTTTCTGCAATATTGCAATCTTGGTTTACGTCATCCCACTGATCCAAAAATAAATAAGTTCAACTTAATGGAACATGTAGGAACGCCAGGACATAAAATGTTATCGTTTGAGGACAGGAACTGCAGTCATCTCAGAGCAGAGGAAATCCCTGAGCGGACACGGTAGAGCAAAAAATCATGCTGAAAAGAATGTGTCTGTCAATTTTAGAAATGTCTACAGCTTTTAGAAAGGGTAAGTCTTGTTTTGAGGTGGGAAGGAAAGATTAAGGTTGCAGGATAATTTAGACTGAAATATAAAAACAAGATGAACATTTATCTTAAGAAAGAAAATTTGTCCGTTTGTTTGAAGTTCAAATTAATAAAACTTAAAAAAGCTTGAGGAATATTTGGAATAAAAATCCATTTGACACTTCATGATCAGTACATTTTTTCTAAGGTGTAACTTTAATAAGAAAATTTTTCCTTGATTACATATGTCAGCTAAAAAGAATTAACTTTTGTTTAAAAAAATATAATTAAAACATTTGGAAACATATTCACTCAAGTGTGCTCTTTGCACTTTTAGTTAGGTGAAAGTGTTTGCCTTTGAAATTTAAGTTAATTAAATATTAAGCATTTAAATATATATTTTTTTTAAATAATTGCTTGCTCTGAACAATTCTTGATTACATTTTGGATCATTTGGTGTCAGTACGATTTAAAAAATACTTATATGTATTTCAGCATGAATGTTTTAAATTATGACAATAATTACATTATATATTTCAAGTAAAAACAGCTTTTTATCTTTCATCAGAGAATCCTGAGGGACAAAAAACAAGGTTTCCATGAAGATATTTAACAACACACCTTTCTTAAAATTTATAATAGCAGAATAAAGATTTTGAGCATCAAATTAGCATAGTGAAGATTTCTGGAGGAAAAATCAGCTTTGCCATCACAGAAATATAATATATAAGGTATTTTAAATTGTATTAATCATTCAAACAATTCTAGATTCAGGTTTCAGATTCTTTCTTCCAGACTTTTTTAATGGTGTTTAGTAAGCACTTTATTGTCTTTATGGACATTTATGATTCATGTAAACTATTGTAGAAATACTTCTTGACAGTGATACAAAAAGGTTTGAGTCATTAATATACTCATCTTTTAAGATCTGTGTTGCATAAAATAATAATTTTTCGTCTTTCTAAATATGAGCAAATGCTAACGTTATATTGTGGTGTCTTTTATTAGTCAGTATCCAATTTAATTATCATTATTTTTTCTGTGTTTCAGAGGACAAGGTTTGGACGACAGTGGTGAATAACCTACCGGCACAGACAGCAGTAACTGGCTCCAGCCGGGAGAGACGGACAGTTTTACAGCTGAACTACAGTGCGTCTATGGAGCAGGTCACAGCAATAACCAACAGCGCTGAGCACTGCGAGCAGCACGTCTCCTACGCCTGCCGAATGTCACGTCTACTCAACACTCCAGGTACTGAGAGACTGTGTGAGAGCGTTTGAATGTTTGCTTCCTTGTAGATTCTTCTTCCCAGGTTTATTTGTAAACGTGCCTCTACCAAAACTTTGGCAAAACTCCTAAATCTTTTTTGCTACAGGACAGTTTGCTGCAGTTTTCAGCTGAAATGAAAACCAGAGGTCTTAAAAAAAGGAACAATCTTTTATATTATCTACAACATAAAATTACAGGACAGATTGTTATAATTATCAATCAATGAACGCTTGTTTCTGCTGAGTTTCATACACAATACAACTGAATGATCTTAAGCCACTTTTACCATTGAAAATTATTTGTAAACTAAAATGTGTGAAGTTAGGTAACATCAGATAGTCCTTTACGCAATGTAATTTCAGGACTTGAAAATGAAGTGACATGAGATATATCCATCTATCTATACACTACCTGATAAAAGTCTTGTCGCACAAGTTTTGTGAACAACAAAAACAACTGCATTCATTCATCTCTGCGATGACTCAAATGACTTGTTAATAAAGTCATCTGGAATGGCAAAGAAAAGCATTCTTGCAGGCCTCCCAGAGTTTATCAAGACTCTTTGGATTCATTTTCAATGTCTCCTTCATCTTATCCCAGAATGCTTAATAATGTTCATGTCTGGTGAATGGGCTGACCAATGCTGGAGCACCTTGACTTTCTTTGCTTTCTGGAACTTGTATGTGGAGGCTGAAGTACGAGTAGAAGTGCTATCCTGCTGAAGATTTTGCCCTCTTCTGTGGTTCTTAATGTAATGGGCAGCACAAATGTCTTGACACCTCAGGCTGTTGATGTTGCCATCCACTCTGCAGATCTCTCGCAGGCCCCCATTCTGAATGTAACCCCAAACCATGCATTTTTCCTTTACCAAACTTGACTGATTTTTCTCAGATTCTTGGGTTCTTGTGGCTTCCAATAGGTCTTCTGCAGTATTTGTGATGATTGGGATGCAGTTCAACATATAGTTCATCTGAAAAATCTACCTTCTCCTCCTTTTTTAAATGATCAACTAGAAGTCAAGTTATTATTTGTTTCTCTTAACTGGGATCGATGACAAGATTTTTGTCAGGTAGTGTATAGATAACGTTGTATCTTTGTATTGAAATTTGTATTTTTCCAATATTTCTCAGGTGCTGTTTAACAGAGACACTGTGAGGTGTTTTTCTAGTTTGCAAAGTTTTAGTCTAAGTCTAAGTTTAAAGCACTATTTAAAGGCCTAAATGAATAGTTCACCCAAAAACTGAATATTCTGTCACCATTTACACATCCTCTACTCATTCAAAGTCTGTTTGATTTTCTCTGTTCTCAAAGATTCAAAAGATTGTGTTCAACAGAAATGAGAAACTCAAAAAATATACTGGAAAAGTGCTAGAAACCTGTAAGCATTGGCTTCCAAAGTATTTTTTTTTTTCTACTTTGGAAATCAATGTTTACAGGTTTTTAACATTTTTCATACGTTTTTGTGTTCCACAAAAAGAAAAAAAAAGTCAAACAGGTTTAAATCCACTTGAGGATGAACAGTAATTAACAAGAACTAAACAATAATTATATTTTTGAGTGAACTATCCCTTACTTAGGTTTTTATTATGTTAACTAGACGATAGGCTGTATGCACAGCTAGTGTTTTTCAGCCAATGCTAAACTTACGATGAAAGCTTAATGTGACTATTTTCATAAGGTTCCTTTTACAGCATCGATGTTGTATTGTAATTACAATACATTCAGTTAAATAGACTTAAGCATTCGTTTAGTGGTTTAAGTTTAAAATGAGATGAAACACCGTTTAAACTTCAGTGCCATCAGGATCAGAAGGTGAGAACAGAAACTTCATTAAAAATACTAGGATATAATAAACTGTCATATCTTAAAGACATGGCACTGGAAAATGGAATTTAATGCAGTGCTTTGTCTCCAGTCTTCCCTTTATATTTTATATCTATCAGGCAGTTGAGATCACAGATTTTTTAAGAAATCAAACCTTAACTGTGGCAATTTTATAATGGAAAGGCAGTTCACTGGAAGCGCTGAGGCTGGCTGGCTAAATATAAAAGTCTGTGTGCATATACACCATTTTGATTAGGCAACTTTATTTCATTATTATTATTATTTATGTCATTATTTAGGCAAGACATTAGGGTGTCTAATAATATTGACCTTAGCTTTTTATTATTTTCCAGCAAAACTAAAAGTAACAAGGGTATGTTTACATATCACATCTTTTGCGCACACAAGATCACTATTTCAAATTGAGATGTGTGGCAAGTAAACACACATACAAAGTAGCATGATTGTGATTTGCATGAGGAGCAACACACTTACTTTTTAAGACCCAAAACACAAACACAAAAAGCCACAATGACACAAGCACATCATGTGACAAGACCCGTGCATTTGCATACAATATATGTATCATTGCATTGTATTTTTGTTTGTTTGTTTGTCTGTTTAGATCATTTTAGGGCTTTAAATAGTTAATGGTGAAATAATTAAGTTCGAGTGTCTTGAAATGGGGTAAATTGATGGTTAACAGGGCCTTCATCTCATTGTCTGATATACTCTTACTCTCCACTGCTCTCAGTTTGACCCCTCTTATTTTTGGCACCTTGCCCAGTTGTGTGTGGTACAACCCCAGAATGTGGTTATCATAATGGCTTGGTTTCAAGAGAATTAGTACTGTATTTATTCGCTTTGATGTGCATGTGTGGCTAACAGCTAGACTACATAACTAATTGGTAATTTATTAATATAAATACAGAGGTGTTGTTAAATGAGGCATAATGTTGAATTAAAGTTCATAGAGAAGCAAATTAAATAAGTGTAAACATATTTCTGAATCAGTTTTGCTGGTTAGAACAGAGTAGAATTTACTCTGCGATCTAATTATGAGATTCAAATCGACAATCTGTTAATACAGGCTCTAGAATAAAATGCAACAGTTTAAAATGTACAGTAAAGCTGTTTTAAATAGTTACAGTATGTTCCTAAAAATGCAAGTTTGTTAGCTAAGATTAAGCATATTTAGATGCAATTTTTTTCATGAATGGTAATCAAGTACATAGTAGCCATCAAGTACACAATCGATTTTCATTTAATTTGTTATTTTAAAGGTGTAGTATGTAGATTTAACACCCAGTGGTTGAACTAAGTATTGCATTCCTGAATCAAAACAAACACAAGCACAGGTTGCCAGGTTGACCAACAGGAATGAGTCTGACGATCGAGCCTAAAGGCTGATTTAAGGCTGATTTAAATTGTGTTCTATAGAAAAACAATTAATGTGATAGAAGGAATATTGTCTGCTATAAAAAAGAGTTTTTGTTCTAACCAACACCTTGAATTGATATATTAGAAATGACTGAACAACAGAAAACTGACAATGATCACCAAAGATACACCTCATGTGCTTTATTCAGTGTTAAATGCTAATAGTGTGAGTTTGAGTGCCTGTTTACTAGACATGTATTGCCATACTACTGAAAGCAGCAGAAGATAGTTCACCTCAGATCTTGAAAATAAAATAAACCATTTGAAATTGAAACTTTAGAACTGTGACTTAAAACCAGCACATAGTGATTTAGCATGTACATTTAATAATGTTAAATAGGTTTAATATGTATTAATAAGATTATAAACATTTTGTGAGTGAGTGCCTATTCTATGCTTTTGAATGGCTGTATATACAGTACATTTCTGTCTGGTGCAAACAGCCCAATTGCTTATCATCACAAATCTCATCATGTAGCATGTTGTTAGGACACGTGGTTACAATGTAACCTGCTCACCTTATGTTTACACTCGCATTTGCTAATAAAATACCTCATGTGGAACTCTGAATCAAAGTTTCATTTTGGAGTTTAATACTGTCCACCGGGGGTCAAATTTTGGTCAAAATCACAGGCTTTCGGAGCCTGTCTTAATAAAGGAATCATATATGTGGTTTTCAACAAGGCAACCCAGGGTGCTGAAATATAATTGAGTAAACTGATAGTGGATGAGTTAAAAGAACCAAAACAAAGTCAGCATTCTGGCACATAACTTGCATTTTCAAAGCAGACTATCTGACTTTGAATATATTATGGCATTTTTGTTCTTTAAAAGAGGCAAAAACTTATATAAAGCACCTTTAACATCCCTCAAAAATACGTGTTTGCAGCTTGTTCAAACTAATTATTTGAAATGAGCTGAAACAACACAATTATTGTGGGGGTTTTTTTTGTTTGTTTTTTTTTGGTAAAGCTTTAGTTTTATGTTCAATCCACTTAAAATTGTAAAAACCATTAAGTTTGCCTAATTGATTTGTGTTGGAACGGCATGAAGTATTGTGTGGAAACCAGCGTTTGTTACAGTGTTGTTATTGATTCTTAAATAATACTTAAGCAAAACTCATACTTGAATGATTAATTAATTTGATCATTTTATTATTTATACTGTAGTTCCATTTTTATTTTTAATGTTGCATATACACGTGTCTATTCAGCAATGACACCAAGCTGGCTAAAAGTAACAGTAGATACACTCAGTTAATTAAATCAATAAATAAAAAGCAGAATTTTGATAAAAAAAAAAAATTATTATTACTGTATGTTTGTTTTTACTCGGGTGAAAAAAAGCCCAAAAATTATTATAATTAATAATTCATTCATTTATTTTCTTGTCGGCTTAGTCCCTTTAATAATACGGGTTTGCCACAGCAGAATGAACCGCTAACTTATCCAGCAAGTTTTTACGCAGCGGATGCCCTTCCAGCCGCAACCCATCTCTGGAAAATATAATTAATGATAATAATAATAATAATAATAATAATAATAATAATAATAATAATAATAATAATAATAATAATAATATATCAAAGCATATTAAATAAAAAAATAAAATATATGCTTTATAGTAATTTAAAATAATTGATTATTTTTTAAGTTGTTGTTGTTGTTGTTATTATTGTTACATAATGAATATTCTTTCTGCTAATAATATGTATTTAT